GTGAAACTCTTATAAAAAATAGAAGAGATCCAAACATCTGTTGAGTGTTGGCCTAAATAACCATAAGGTTTATCTTACCCTGAAAGTCCATAATACTTGTTTACCTAGACCTAATAAATAGCCCCAATTCCTTATGACATCTGGATCAGTTTTTCTGGTGAGGGAAACTTCTCTAGAGAACTACTACAGTAGTAGCAGAATAATGGGAAAAAACAGTTCCTCCAATGAGCACATGCTTAAAAGGGGCTGGCTTTTCACCTGCTTTAATATATTGGTGAAAAGATGTTAGAGAGAACAGTATGTAAACAACAGCCTGTTAAGATAGAGGAGTTAAAGAGAGGCACCCAGTTGTGCATGCTCAGCTGCCATACAAGAGCACAGCCCTGCCCTCCATGGCTTTCCAGTCTCCAGACTCACCAACCACCACCATCCTATCCTCATATTAGAAAGCTGGCTATCCATTTAGGTCTTCCCTACTGAACACCAGGTTTCTGATACTGAGTGATGGTTGTAACCTGATTGATGCCTGAGAACAAGTTTAGTTGAGGTGTTTTCCCACCTTTCAGGATCATGATCATGTAAACCAACGCACACTCCAGAGTATTTTATTGGTCAATCCTCTAACCAATCAGGAAGATGGACTTTGAATTAGCCGTGGACTCATTAACTATGTTGTCTCTACAGGTTCTGAATAGACCCAGTCTTCTTTTTTTTTTTCAACTGGAGTATGTGTGTGTATGTGTGTGTGTTTGTGTGTGTACATGTAGAAATAGTCACAAACCTCATTTCTACAAATTCAAGCAATGTTGTAAAGTAACACAAAGCATTTTATGAAATATCACCTAAGGTGCAAAGAGCTGTTACCAAAAATTCTAAAAAAAACTTCTCACAACCCAAAACCCCACTGATTTTTAATTCCTTCAATTTAATCTACTAAATGTGTCAAAATTGAAGTGTGTGACACAAACAGAGTACAGTATTTCTTATTTTGATCCTGAGGTAATATGCCTTACCAGAAAAAAAGCTTAGCAATGTGAATCATATGATTGCACAGACCATTACAGAAAAGTCTGTCAGTGTTTTTTTTGTTTTTTTTTGTTTTTAAGGGCTAACAGTCAAGCAATTTAAATTTCCAATAAAGTCACTAGTTTAGCAAATATTGTTGCTGCTTTCACAATTAGTTACTAACAATTACAGTTGTGAAAATGTACCATGCTTACTAATAAATATGCTGTAACCAATTTGGCCTCCTTCTGCTAAAAAATCTGATATTTTAAAATTTTAACTTTTCTAACTTCAAATTTTAAACTTAAGCACTTGTCCTTGTCTTGCTATGTCCTCAAAAAACACCATTGGGCCTATTTAGCACAATAATTTGAACAGTGTAGACATACAAAAATATTTGTTGAGTAACAGAATAAATGAATGAATGAAGCTTCAATGCTCAAATTTACTTTTAAATAGCATCGGCATACAAACTGATGGATTGATTGCAATTGTACTTGGCATTTATATAGGAAGAACAAAATAAGTGAATATTGGTTTAAATTGCACAAAAATAGCTTTTTTTCAAGTGCATAAGATAGGAATTGTCAGCAGAAAAACAACATCAAGAAAATGAAGAACATAATATCAAAGCAAAAAGAGCATCTTTTCTCCTATACCTTTAATAATGGGACATAGACAACTTTTGCTTAGCAAGCTGAAGCCAAAGGCTTGCTCTGCAGCTCTGTGGATCAGAGACTGTGATTAGATACTATCTTTTGCCCAGGAAAACAAGCTAATGAAATTTACCATCCAATTCATGTACAGAGTAACAGCAATTGCTGATTAGAGACTAAAAACTAGTTGCAACAACATTTTAATTACATTTCAATGCAAGACTATAAATTAATTTATCCAGATGAAATACTGTATTATATTGGTTTACAAAATGGCTAATTAGCCCATCCAGAACTTGAAGGAGACCAAAGGACTTCCCATTTTATATATATATATATATATATATATATATATATATATAATGAATAAACCAACAACAACAAATTATTTCAAGGACATAAACATTTATTTCAGGCCAGAATCAATATTAAAATACTTCTTGCTTCAGCCCCAGTACTTCCTAAGTCACTGCTTAGCAGCAGAAGGCTCAGTATTTGATGTGGTATTAAGAGGTATTTCTGATAGTTGCTTCACTTTTTGAGCTGCACAATGAGAAAGGGTTTCGACAGGGTGGAAGAGCCTTTTGTTTGTTTGTCTGTTTGTTTTCTATTGTCTATCCCATTCAGTCCCCTAAGCTCTGTTGAGCAGAACCCAGACAGAAGCATTAATCTACCCAGGGAGTTGCTGTTGGAGAAATGCTTTTGTCAGAGTATAAACTCATTTAGGCTATGCACAGATTCTGTGGCAATTACCCTTTCTTATATATTGAAACCATTCTTTAAATAGTGGCATTATTCCTCTTCTATTCCTTACAGTAAAGAGATGTATGTACACCTTTCAAGAAATCACAGTTATCAGAGAATGAGCTTGTAATTTGGGGCTGGAACAAAGAAACTAGAATGTCATCACATCACAGGCAATTCTGCCCTCTCCAGCGCATCCAGCACTATGCCTCAGAGACCACATGGCCAAAGAAAGTAGTTTCCAGTGAATCTGAATGCTATCAGTTCCATTTCTTCTTCTTAGGATGCATTCTGTGTGTCTAGAAACCAGAGGTGACAATAGGGCCGCACCATATTGGAAACTTTTTAAAGGTTAATGAATTCTGGCATAAAATAATGTCATAGCCATAAACAACTCATAAATACAAAATCTAGGAAAACCACAAAAACACTCATCACACTTCTGAGAATGGTAGAACCTTGGATGATAAAACCACTATGAACTTCTAAATTATTCTTTTAATAAACTTGGAGTTTTATACTATATATCAATATTTATGATATCAGCTAATGACAGTTCAGGGATGCAGAATGCAAAATGAAGTCTGCCTCACTTCAATTGTGCACTGCCTTGGTAATTACTTCTAGATTGAAAACAGGATTCAGTTCAACTTGGGTAACAAGGAAATCAGTTTCTAATTTGGCAAGGCAGACGTCTAATTAGCAGTCCTCTTCCCCTTTGTCATAAACCCATCTCCACATTCAGGTTGGTATGTGGAATATAAATTGTGTTATTTATTTATATATGTATGTATAGAATTTACAAGTAGAACAATTTTAAAGACTCTCAAAACTTAGGAAGAAATGTAGCTACATCAAAATAATTAAAAGTTAAACTTACAAAGGACCAAATAGAAATGAGTTTACCTCATATAGTGAATTTGACAAGCTGAGAGAGACAATGGAGTCCTAAGAATCAAGTACCATATTGTGGAGTAGGTAGAGTGAGGCACAGCCACAAGTAGTTTCTATAGTGCCTACTTAATGATACAAAAGTAAAACAAAAGAAGCTCAGATTCTGCCTTAAAGCGGTAGAAGCAAGGAAAGTTGCAATTAAGGATCAAAGCTCCAATGTCTAGTCATAACATATTTCTAGACCTAATATTTCATAACAGTATCCTTGGTGCCTTAATGCCGTACTACTAAAATTGATCAGTCCATGAGTCTAACAGTCTCACAATACCAATTTAATACGCAATATGTATTAAATGATTTGTATGTTCCAGTGACCACTCAGGACAGCTACAACTATTTTTTTTTTGTTTGCTTGTTTACTTTTGCTCTCAAAAGTCTAGCACTTAGCATTATATGTTTTCAGTATGTATGTTGTTTCCTAGGACTAATTTTGTAAAATAGGAATGCTACTTGTGCAGCACTTCTTTTTCAAAATATAGTAATATAAATTCAATTCATTTCATCTTGAAATCAACTTTATTTAAATGTGACTAACAGATAAGGAAATTAAGACAAGATTGAGTTGTTGGCTCAAAATTGTCATGGCCGTAAACTGATGGCACAGTCAACATAAGAACTCTCTATACAAGACTCTGTCACTGTATGATCTAGAAAAAGTCCTTTTATATAGTGTAACCTCAATTCTTCATCTTTAAATATAGATAATACTACCTAATTTAGAGTCTTAGAATAAAGATTCGATAGCTAATGGACGCCTGGCACAGAACTCACTAAATGCTATTTCCTTTCCTAAGGTCAAATATGCTTGCTAATGTCAAGTTAAACAAATTAAACAGATCTTTTTGCTGCATGAATCTTCAAAGCCTTTAATATGCTATATGATGCCCCAAGAGCTATACAAAGTACATAACATTTCTCCAAACAAACATTTTTCTCCCAAGGGACATCTATTGATATTTTATGGAATAGTAATATTCCACAGGACATACTTTGGGAACCCTGCTGCAGACCATAAAATACTGTGGTAAATAGTGAATATGTGAAATGGATCATTTGGATACGATTAATGAATCATTGGTTTAAATATCCTGGTCTGAATACCCTAATGACCTTTTTGAGGACACCCAAAACATCTAATACACAAGAAACAACAATTACTTGGAAATGGAGCCCCAAGTTTGCTTAGAAAGACACTGGAGTGGATCAATTTTATTGCAGGTCTATGTGAAGGTTGGGCACACTGTATGATTATTTTTGCTTCCAACGTAAAAATAGAGGATGTTTCAAAAGAAGAAAGTTTCTTAGTGATTCTGCCCCCCCCCGCGTTTTTTTTTTTTTTTTTTTGCCAATGTGCTACATCACCTTTTCTGTGGTTTGTTATTATATGGGTCAAATCTTCAGGACAGTAAAGAGAAAGGGAAGAGCAGAAGCTTTTTCTTTTTAAATTTTAAGAAACTAGAATCTTTTATGTTACAATGTATGTACTCTGTTCATTCAATAGGATACTAACCCTTAAAACTATGCTCCAATGTGTAGGAACTGTGACCCACATATGTGTTATCAAGCCAACAAACAGTTATTCAATACCTAATTCTGTGTTAAGCAGCGCAGGCTGTAAGCAAATAAATTTGAGATACTTACAATCTTGTAGGTGAGACAAGACTTACATCGAAGAAGAGAAGAGTGGAGAAGGAATAATACCCAACAGTACATAATGAAGAGCTAGAATAGATCTGGAGGTACAAACTGTAATTATAATATGAACCCGGAAAAGGATCACTGAGCGTCACAGCCTAGAGTTGGCACTTAAGCTAGACCTTTGAAAGCCTGTAAGAGATTGTCACAGGGCTTCTGTAAGCAAAGCCAGTTCCATCACCCCCTAATGTGCACCAACTGTCAAGGGAGTGTTAGGGCCACCCTTTTCTTTCATGAACAATAGAGGAAATGCAGAGATTTTTGCTTCTTTGTCTTTCCTTTTTGCAATGGATAGATATATCAACTAAAGATCCTCAAATCCAGCAGCTCTTCCCTCCTGGTCAGAGTGAGGATTTGGCTGCTTGCCTGCTCAATAAAGAAACGGAAAAAATGCTAGCCATAACAACAATTTCAGGGTTAGAGCTGCATAAGAACAATTCAGCAATAAGAGAATCTACATGAGCTTGTGTGGAGAGACAAGTGCTATTTTCTGCTTGAGTCTGTGACTGGTAGAGAATCACTCAACCCTATGATTGTATTACTTATACAGAACTCACTAGGGCACCATCTGGTGCTAAGCTAACCGCAAAAACAGGAAAATCAAACCCAAAGCCAGTTGTCTTCATTGGAGTTTTCACTAATGACCTGTTCCTCGCCAATATTCCAACTGATCACATTCTAGTTTGAAACAGGAAAAGACATTTAATGTTTTAGAGGGAAGTCCTAAAGGGAATTTAGTTAGACATACCCTTGAAAAGATTCTGTCCCTATCTAGATCTTCTCAGTTGAAAGGGCATTGTTCCTATTTCAGGTCTTATTACATCTTATTAAGTTGTCAGACCAAGTTCATAATGTCCCATCTCAAAACCCAGTCACCAAGAGATAAGTGTGAGAGGTGATCTTGCAAGATTATGTCCTGGAGATGGATACTTAAGCCAAAATTGTGAGGAAATTCTGCTGAAGTATAGAAAACAAACTAACAAACATCCATGCTGAAAATAATTCCAATTTCTAATTACTTTAAAATCCCATATTTTGAATCTCAATAAGTTATTCTCATTGAAGTAGCAGATTCAACATTGCAAATATATTTTCCTTTGCAGTCAAAATTTTTATAACTATAATGCAAAAGGTAGGTTTGTGTGTTGAATTTATATACTCCTAATTTTCAAAAATCCAATTATAAAGATTTCCCTTTTCAGTTCTTACTGGCTTTTCCTAGATTCTCTCTGCACTAGTAATTTTCTTTTTGACACAAATATTGTAGAGGGGTACCATAAATTAATTTGGCTTCAATATTATAAATTCATCATGAAAGCTGTGTACATTTCAAGTCCCATTTTATTTTCATTTGGAACTAATATTGCAAGTCTTAATGGTACCTCAGTGCATAATCCGGTGCCTTGGTTTCAATGCTAGTGAGTGTTTGGAGTTCTCTTTGACTCATGGTGTGATTTTTCTCATTTTTAAGGCTATATTTTATTAAAACCATGTAGATATTTTGAAAATTCCAAGAAGCAGCTAATCAAAGAGCCAGAAATCATGATATTAAAAGGAAGTTGCTCTACTAAACCTAATAGATGAAGGAAGATTTATAAAAGAGTGGTTCCATAAAACATATTTTCATAACTCAACCATCTGATTTTCAGAATTCGGGAGGACAATCCTTCTTGTTTAATGTAAAATTAAGACTTAATGACATTCAAAAGCGAGGTTATGATCCATATTTAAAAATACAAATAAATCAGCAATTTTCATTAAGAAAGTTCATTCATCTCATGACAAGGGCTGTAACAGAAAGAGAAGGTAGGCTTTGGAGTCACCTAGGTTGGAATCAGGGATCTCCCACTTATCAGCTTTGTCCCTTGAACAAAGTACTTAACCTTTTTAGGGGTCAGTGGCATCCTCTCATCTGCAAAAAGGGCTTAGCACTTACTCCTAATATTTTTGTGGAAAGCGAATGGTATAACATTTAGAAAAATCTTGCCACAGTTCCAGGCACACTGTAGGAGGTCTATAAATATGAGTTCAATACCTCTTTCACAGTTACTTCTCAAAGTCTTCCTTAAGAACAACAATTCTGTGAAAGGGAAGTGATTTACATGTAGCACACCAGTAATTACAAAAGCCTAGGGAAGCTGAGATCTATTTGTAGCTCCATCCCTCCAATTGTGACATTGTCAAATGTCCTTAACAAACTCCCAGACCTCATTGGGTCTCATCTGTCACTGTGAAACAGCAGTCTACTCTTCATTAGTAAGAGCTGCTTCTTCCATTTAAAATGTCCAGTTCCCTCCATCCGCAACCATATCTCATGACACACTAAAGGAAAAAGCTAATTTTCTCACATTAAAAAACATTTTACATTATTAAACAAAGTACTTAATATCAGCAAACAGAATATTCACAATTGGATGACTTAATCTAGAGCTACACCAAGGATGAAATACTATAACTACAAAGAAAAAATAGAAAGAAAAGGAAATGCATTTCTGAAAAAATTTATTTTAGGTGTAGGAAATCTAACACAACAAATAATTTGAAGAATTAATAGCTGCTTTCCAGCAACATCTATAGACTAACCTTAACTAAATCAATTTTTCTGTCTGTAGCAATCACAGAAAAGCTCTATTATTCATCTTCTACAACTGAACTATATAAAAAAAATCCTGTTAGCTCTATTTCTAAGATTCACCATATTCATTCATTTTGCTACATTTTGTATAAAGATTGATATTTTCTTGGGGGTATTTTACTTTTTTTCTGTGTCTATATATTTATTTCTTATGATCTTTCATATGAAATGTACAATAATGCAATGTTTGGCCTTTGGTGATTTACTTCTTTCACATTGCATAATGTTTCCAGGGTTCATCCACGTTGCAGTATATATCAATACTTCATTACATTTTTTTGTATTTTTTATTTCAAAATATTAAGGGGGTATGAATGTTTTTGTTACATGGATACACTGTACAATGCTAAAGTCAAGGCTTTCAGTGTGTCCATCACCTGGATAGCGTTCACTGGACCTGACAGGTAAATTTTTATATCTCACTCCCATCCCATTCTCCCTCCTTCTTAGTTTCCAATGTCCTTTGCATTTCTTTGTGCCCATGTGTACCCATTATTAGCTCCCACTTATTAGTGAGAACATGTAGTATTTATTTTTCCATTCCTGACAAACTTCACTTAGGATAATGGACTCCAGTTCCATCCAAGTTGCTGCAAAAGACATTATTCCATTCCTTTTTATGGCTGACTAGTAGTCCATGGTATATATACACACCACATTTTGTTAAACCACTCATGAATTGATGGGCACTTAGGTTGATTCCACATCTTTGTGATTGTGAATTGTGCTGCAGTAAACATTCTAGTGCAGGTGTCTTCTTGATAAAGTAATTTCATTTCCGTTGAGTAGGTACACCTTTTTTGTATTTCTGTGGTATCAGCTGTAATTTCTCCTTTTTCATTTCTGATTGAGGTTATTTCAGTCCTTTCTCTTTTATTTTTGGTTAATCTTGCTAGTGGTCTGTTGATTTTGTATATCTTTTCAAAGAACCAACTTTTTGTTTTGTTGATCCTTGGTATTGTTTTTTTTTTTTTCTAATTTCCATTCCATTTAATTCTGCTCTGAGCTTTGTTATTTCTTTTCCTCTGCTGATTCTGGGTTTGATTTTGGGGGGCATTTTCTATGGCCTCAGTTTCATAATCTTTAACATAGAATAAAACCTACCTTGTAGGGTTGACTTGATGATGAAATTAGATTGGGTATGTGATAATGTTTGTGAATTGTACAGCATAGTACAAATGGAAGAGTTTATTTTGACAATAGGAAGACAGTTTGGTGTACACAGAATCTAGAACTAGAGAATTCTACAGGCAATTATACCCCACTCTGGCAGAATCCCAAACAACAGAGACTTTCTTTCTTAGGACTCAAAGCCACCACACAGTCTCTTTTCCTTGGACCGAGCTGGGAGCATGCAGAAATCCTATATTTCTATCTAGCTCACTTTTTTCAAAATTCTTCATAGACACCAAAATCTTCTACCATCCTAATACCTCTCATGAAGCACATGTTGAAATCAATGATACTTCAGGTATCTCCCATGAATTCCCTCTGAGATAGATGCCTTCCTGGAGTTATTTCCCCACCTTGGCAGCTACACCTTCATGCATCTGTCTGATGAGTGCTGCTTCAAGAAATTACACTTACTTACACCAGGAAGATTCATGTGGCCTTTTACTTCAGGGGAATCTTTTTCTGATCTGATTCTCAAATTGTGGACATGCCCCTCTGCTGAGGTATTCCCACTAAGAGCCAGAAAAGGGAGAGGTGCAATTGGGAAGGGGCAGTGACAGCAGAGAAAGGATGGTTCTCTGCTGTCAGAGCTAATAAGTTATCTGGGCCAATGAAACCTAGGTGTCATTTGCTACAGGAAAAAGCAGGCCACCATAAAACACGGGGGCCTTAAGGCCAATTTCAGAAGCCAGAGAGGTAAACCCAGCAAGGACCTCCCACTGCCCTTGGAATCAAATCCAAGCTTCATATCATGACATATGGGTCTCTGAGTGATCTAAACTCTGCATGTTTTCTAACTTCAAATTATATACTCACTCCTAGCCTGCCTCACCACACTCCATGTACATGGGCTTTCTTTCTGTTCCTTAAGCCCACCTCTCATTCTAAGCTTGGAGCCTTTGCACTTGCCATTGTTCCTTCTGTCCGGGACACTCTTCTCCCATATCCTTGCCTGGCTGAGTTCTTCCAATTACTCAGGTTTCAGCTCAAATATCACCTCTTCAGAAAGACCTTGTCTGATGACAATCTTAATGTTTCTCAGTTCTCTGCTACTACCACCACCAAATAACTCTATCTCATTATCTTGTTTTATTGTCTTCATGGCACAAATCACTATTTCAAACTATCTAGTTTACTTATGTATTTGTCTGTATATTATCTGTCTTCACCATTATAGAATGTATGGATAGGTTTCTTGCCAGTTTTGCAAACCACCATAGCTCTAATGCCTAGTATGCTACCTGACACATGCAGGTACTCAATATATAATTGTGAAATTCTGAATGATTTAATGCATATTTAGGGATATAAGAAACGGTGATTTGCAAAACCATTTGGAATATTAACAAAGGAAACAACCTTTAATGTGATGCAAAGTACTACTGAGGGTAGAAACATCTCATTTATGAGTTGTGTTATAAAATTAGTAATGAAAGTAGGAAAAATGGAAGAGTCACAGATGTGCCAATTTGTTAAAAGTCAGCTGACATAATTCTTCAGCTACTCCAGACAAAATGACAGTCAGAAAAATAGCTTGGGCAGCAGTGCAACAGTGCAATGCCACACTTCACAAATAGGCTTGGCATTAGTTCATTCTCAATTCCTAAATGTTACTATTGTAGGTTGGGTCATGGTATTACATTTAGTTAATCTGAGGTTAAAGATTTGCATGGCTGGATATACTCATTCAGTGCAATCAAGTATTGATTTTGTCTTTTAGCAACAAAAAAATAACAACACACAGCTTTTATTCAGTGCCCTGTGTCTTCACAAATCATGAAACAATTAGTGAATAGTTCATTTAAACAGCTATATTGTGATGCATAGTTGAAATATATTCTTAAATTTAAAAACAAATAAAAACCCAGTTTGTTATTTACTACAATTGGAAGTTTTCTTCAGCATGTGAAAGTGCAAGTTGAAGGACTTCTCTCTGCCTTCACAAAATTCTATCAAACATCAACATAGAATAAAACGAATCTTGTAGGGTTGGCTTGTTGACAAAATTAGATTTCATATGTAACAATGTTTATGAAGTGTACAGCATAGTACAAGTGGTAGAGTTTATCTAATAAAACACATTTATACTTCTTGACATAACTATATTGCAGCATTTAAATGGAGGAAACACCCCAACCCTTGAGCAGTAGGCACCTTCTTCTTGCCTCCATTGCTCCTAATTTATAGTTGTCACTCTGACTCCTAGCAGACAATTCAAAGCCTCTCACTCTATGTCCCTCAGAGTCCCATCCCTAACGCCATCCCATGCTCCGGGACAACCCAATTAAGTGAATTCACACTATGTACAAGGCTCCCTGCTAAATGTTGGCTAGCTTGTAGAAATTAATCAGAGGTCCCTGTCGTTAAGTAGCTGATAATCCAATAGTGATTAGAGAAATTAAAAAAAAAACCCTACATAACAATAAGACATTAGGAAGCTTATAATATTTAACAAAGAAATTGCTTGAAAATTGAGAAAAAGGAATACTTCATCCCTGATGGTCTTCTCTTTTACCTTTATACATTCTCTGCAGGTAATTTTATCCATAATCACACTTTCTACTATTGCCATACTGATGGTTCCAGGTCTGTGTGTCTGGTCTTGATCTTTCAACCTGTATTTATAACTTTCTAGTGATTACCTCCTGTTCATTTCAGACCTTGAAGTTCACTAAACATCCAAGTCCACATTCATTAATGCCCACTACCACTTTTCCCTTCTTAAATTCCCCATCTCTGTTAATAAGATTACCATATCCCCCAAACCACATCTTGCAAGCTGGAAACTTTAACAGCACCCTGCATACTTCACTCTGCCTTAGCCTCCAATACCAAACAAGTTAACCAGCCACATTAGCATCATCTTTCTATCTCAGAAGATGCCTTAGAGTTGAATTCCTCTTCTCTATCTCCACCTCACCATTGGCAATACTTCATTCACTCATGTTCATAGACTCTGTGGTCCTATAGATCTAGGTTTTAGTCTTTACTCTGTCATTTTCAGCTGGTGATTTTGGGCAATTACTTAATCTTTGCCTCAGTCTCCTAATCTTGTAAAATAAGGATAATAATAATACTTATACTTCATATGGTTGATAGAAAGCTTTTTAAAAAGGTAACACATATATAGCATTTTACATAGTGCCCAGAACAAACATATCAGATGATTAATAAATGATAATTATAATTATTGCTAACATTCAGAGCCCTCCAAAATCTGTGCTTAACTATGTCCTCTCTACCACCACATTTCACTCAAGCTCAATTAGTCAACACCAGTGTTTCTCTAATAGGACAGAGGGCTTGTTGTTTAAGGATTGAGAGAGGTTTGATTCTAAGGGGAGGCTGGTGGTATGATGTGGGGATGCTGATAGCATTCAGACAGAGGAGGACAGAATCAGAGAAAAAAATATTTGTATTTTTCTCTTGACACCACCCCCCAATTAAAATATCCTTCCGTGAAGTATGCCTAGATTATTTTAGCCAGGAAGTGTTTCTTTAAAAGACCAGTTACTGAGCCCCAACTCTGTGCAACATTGGGGCTCAGTAACTGGTCTTTTAAAGAAAAACACTTCCTGGCTAAAATAATCTAGGCATACTTCATACCACCAGCCTCCCCCTTGAATCAAACCTCTCTCAAAGAAAGAGAATATTTAAGTGATACTATAACAAGTATATTGATAATTGTGAATATTTATTAAAAGCTTCTCTATGGGCTCAGCATTGAGATAACCAATTAATATTCTCTATCTTATGCTATCCTTGTAATAACCCTAGAAGGTAGGTATCGTTATTATCTGTATTTTACAGATAAAGAAACTGATACACAGAGAGGTTGAGTAACTTGCCAAAAGACAGAACTAGTAAGAAGAGGGATCAAGTTTCAAATAGTCAGTCTAGTTTCAGAGTCATTACATTTAATGATCGTGCTACACTGCATAAAACTGGTAATATCTAGTCACTGAACTTGATGTGCAAGAGAAAGAAAGGAATCAAGAATGACTCCAAGTTTTCAAACATGGAGTGGACTAACAGTACCAATGACAAAATTATTGATTTTATGATTTATTCAACTTGATGGACAACAAATGAATTTGAGGGATCCCAGTTTAGGTATCACCTTCTTTGTGAAGTGCCTGAATCTACCCATTAGTTAGGTACTTCCATAATAAGCTCTCTTTACGTCTATTATGTAATTTTTCAGACTACACAATAACTCTTTGTTTACATTTACACCTTTTATATTAGGCTATGAACTCATCTTTGTATACCAGATACTAGCAATATGTTTGTTTACTAATATTTTGAGACTGTGTGTGTGTGTGTGTGTGTGTGT